ACAGATAAAAATACAACAGAACATAGATCAGGGTGAAGTGACTTGTTCAGGGTCACACAACTAGTAAGTGTCTGAGGCCAAATTTGAACTCAGGTCTTCCTGACTCCAGGCTTGGCCCTCTGTCCACTACAGTGCCACCTAGCAGCCCAAACTGGACCTTAGAAGCCATCTAATCCATCATCATCATTGTACAGATGAGGAGAGTGACTTATCCAAAATCAATGAGCTAGCTAACTGCAGAGGAGGACCCAAGTATCAGCCATGGACTCATTTGTAATCCTAGCCTCACAAAGTCACCCAGGTGGGAGAGTCAGGAAGACCTGAGTTCAAACTGGGCCTCAGACACTTACTAGCTGTGTGACCCTGGGCAAGTCACTTCACCCTGTTTGCCTCAGTTTCCTCCTCTGTGTAATGAGCTGGAGAAGGAAATGGCAAATCACTCCAATATCTCTGCCAAGAAATGGGATCACAAAGAGTCAGACATGACTGAAATGACTAAACGGCAACAGCCAAAATGTCCAGTTCTTTTATAAAATTCTGTATTTCTGTGACCAGTCTGGGGACAGTGGGGCCTAGGGGCTCCGGATAGGCAGTATTGACTCTCCAACCGTGGCATCCTGTCTGCACGGGCAGGACCAGGCTCTGTCCAGGGAAGCCAAATGTCCACAAACACAAGAACAATACAGCCAGCATTTTAAGGTTTGCAAAATGATTTATGTTAAGTTGGTGCCTCACACCCATCCTGAGAAGTAAGTTGTCCAGGTTTCATTATCCCCATTGAACGGCTGAGGGGGTGGGGGTGGGGCTCTCAGCAAGGAGTGACCCTGACAGCTTGCACAGAATCAGACAACCCAGGGTGTGGTGACTCTTGGTGCCCTACCCACTGCACCTCACTGCCTGTCTAGCATGGCCTACGTACTACATCACGGTTGTATGCATGTGAGCTTCACGAGCTCATAGGGACTGTGTCTGTCTAAGCTTGGTATCTTGCCCAGAGCCTAACATGAGGCTCGGGACATATTTAGACCTTAATAAATCCTCAGGATTAAGGAGCTTGATATCACCTCATAACTCTAGAATCAGAAGGGACCTTGGAAATAATTACTCTCTCATTTTACATATGGGAAAACAGAGACCCAAGGGAATGAAGTAATCCAAGGTTAGACAAATAGTTGATGGGGCAGCTAGGTGGCTCAGTGGATAGAGCACTGGCCCTGAAGTCAGGAGGACCTGAGTTCAAATTTGACCTCAGACCAAACACTTGGTACTTACTAGCTGTGTGACCCTGGGCAAGTCACTTAACTCTAATTGCCTAAAAATTAAAAAAAAAAGACAAATAATTGAGTGGGATTTGAACACAAAGACTCTGACTGTGGAGCCAAGGCTCTTCTCACTCTACCATACTTCCTGCCATGGTTGTCGCATGAATGAATGAATGAATGAATGAATGAGTGGGACAGGTCTTGACCCTGACTTGGAAATCCTTTTGTCCTATGGCAGAATTTTGTCAAGATAGACTCTGACTCCTTCTGAAGAGTAGGATGGAGGGGGAGGAGGAGGAGGAGGAGGAGGAGTGACTGCCTTAATGAAGCCTATCTCCAAACCTGGGTCCTCCAGATCACTGTTCCCAGAAGCCAAGGGAAGAGTCATTGGCTTTGGCAGCACCTCCCTAATCCTGGAGGCCTTTAAGTACAGCCCTGGTAACAGGCTGTCTGCTGTCCAAGAACCAGCCAGTGGATGAATTCTTCCAACTCATGCTTGACACATGAAACAAATCAGACCTCACACCTTCAGGTTGTCCTCCCTCTAAGCCTGTGGCAGCAAAGAGTGGGAGGATTCTGGAGGACCCCCATTTTACAGAGAAGGAAACGGGCTCAGAAAAGTTAAGACACTTGTCCAAGGTCACACAGCTCGTGAGTGGCCAAATGGGAACTCAGACTCGGGTCTCCTGATGTCAAGTTCAATGTTCTTGCCATGATTGCCCCACTCCTCCTCCACTCCAGGAGGAAATTGAAGACTCAGAAGCCAGAATAACTCCCCAAGAGGGAAAGAATACAATAAAGACAAGGAAATGCTCCCAGAACAGATGGACTCAACCTTTCAGCCTCACTGGAGCAAGGAATTTGCTGACTTCTCAGGAATCAGCCTTTGGCAGAGGCTACGTTCTGGAGAAAGGGGAAATGATCTGATCGGGGGTGTCAGCCAGGGTCGCTGGCAACTCAGTTAGGAAGGGGAGAGGCCAGGGAGGATGAAGTGGAGTGGGGGAACAAGAGGCCCAGGCTTCTCCAGCCCCACCAGGTGAAGGAGGCACGCACTTGAGGGATTTGGGGCTGGGTGGGGAAAATGATGGAATAGAGTCAGGAACTTTGGATGGAGCTAGGGCTGGGGAATGGGGGAAACCCAGCAGCTGCCATCTGGCCAGCAGAAGGGCCCAAGTCTGCACCTAGGGCCCCAAAGCTGCTGCTCAGGGTAGGGTCAGTTTCAAAGCTTCCTCACCTCTACAGGACACCAGGCTGTTTCTCTCAGCCCTGAGGGTGGCGTCCCCCCCCCCCCCCCCCCCCCCCCCCCCCGCCCCAGTAGGTGGAGGTTCACAGCCTAGGCAGCCAATCACGGTTTTGACACAAACTGTGTGACTTTCATTAAGTTACTCCCCCTCTATGAGCCTCACTTTCCTCCTCTGTGAAGTAGGGAGAATACCACCAATACTGTCTCCCTCCCAAAGCGACTGTGTGTGAGGAATGCTTTGTAAAACATAAAGTGCTAGAGAAAATGGACACCTTTAGGATTATTAAGAGAGGCAGGGGAGTATAATGCATATAGTGCTGAACTTGGAGTCAGAAGAACTTATGGGTTCCAATCCTACCTCATATCCTATGTTACCCTGGGCAAGTCACTTCCCCTCCATGGGCCTCAGTTTCTTCCTCTGTAAAATGAGAGGATAGTGCTTGATGACCCCTTGAGGGCCTTTCCAATCTTAGAGCTAGGATGCTATGATACCAAGCCCCAGGGGCAGCTGGGGCAGCTTCGCTGGAGTATTTATCACCTTAAAGCGCAGAAAAAACAAATTCACTGAGCCTGACAGTGAGTTAAGAGTTTGGGGCACGGGAGTGGGGGGACAGAGAAGCTGGGAAAGAAATTGGAAACTATTGTGAGGCTCTGTCTGCAACGGTTGCCAGAACAGACCATCCCATAACCCTCCAAAACATTCAATTTAAAACAGCAAACCCCGCCTCCTTCCAGCCAAGCCTCCAACCCCCAGTTGGCTGGCTTCGATCTGAACAGCGGTGGCAGCAGCTCCCGAGGAATCCCCCTGGCTGAGGGATCGTTTGACAGCGGGAGTAGAAAGGAAATGCGTTCCCTTGGGTAGCAAGAGATCTGGGTTCTAGACTCGTTTTCCTATTGCTGTATGACTTCAGGCTAGTTCTCCCCTTCTCTAAGGGTCCTCCCTTCCAGCTCTGACATCACATGATCCTTCCAAGGGGCAGGAATCCTGACTTAACCTCTGGCCCTCCTAGCACCCAGGCCGCAGCTCTGACCTCAGGGTGCTTGGAGAGGCCCCACAAGTCCTTCCATTTCTACAGTGCCCAAAATGCTATTGCCACAAGAGCCGCTTTAGGCAGGTAGTATAAGAGTCATGGACCCCAAGGAGGGAAGAGGAAACCAAAGATAAGAGAGACAAAGTGATTTCACCCGAAACTAGGTCAGAGCTGAGATTCAAAGCCAGGTCTCCCAATACTCAGGCCCTAAGCAATTTCTGCCCTCAACTCCATCCCCTTACCGTTGTCTTTGCCCTAATCCCCTCTGTCTAGGCCTTACTTCTTTGCCCAACCTGCATCTCCTTTCCGTCAAGCTCTGTGTCTTCTAAGGTGGGAACTAGCAAACCAGGGCAACAAAATAATAGCATCATTGGTGTAGAGCTGGAAGAAACCTCAGACACCAGCCAGGGCAGGGGTTCAGAACCGGGGGTCGATGAACTTGTTTTCTTTAATATTTCAACAGCTGTATTTCAACATACAGTTATCCCTTCCACATCGCCGGTCTGGGGGCTCAGTGCTCCTGTGATCTGGAAAATCTGCGTATAATTTTTTGGCCCTCCCTTCATACCAGAGAAGAAGTCTGGATTATTACGGTATTAAAAGACAAAATATGTTGATGTTATACAATACTGTACATAGATTTTGTGCATTTCTGAGTTTCTAAACTTTTCCTGTGCTGTCTGCTGGCCTTCGCATGTTGTCTGCGGCTTCTGCAAAACTCCCCCAAAATTCCCATTTAATTTCTTATGCTGATCCACAATGTATTGAAACCAAGATGAGGAAAGTCAAGATGTGGAAGAGATAACTGTAACTGGTTTCCCGTATAATCCCATGTATTTTATCTTACGCCTAAAAACTTTATTCTGAGAAGGGGTCTGGAGGCTTCACTAGACACGGCCCAAGGAGTCCAAAGGCCTTGAACCGCTGATGTAATCCAACCCCCTCATTTTATGAATGAAAACACTGAAGCCCAGAAAAGTGAAGTGATCGGCCTAAGGTCACACAGCTAGTAAGTAGCTAGGATCTGAACCCAGGTCTTCTGCATCCAATCAGCCCTCCTCATCCCCCATCCCCTCCCATGCTGTACTGCCTCTGCTGGTGTACTAAAGGGGGATGGCTACAAGGCCTCCCTGCCTTCCTAAGTAATTATTTATAATAATTCTATTTGAAAGTGGGCCTTCTGGAGACAATGCCCTCATTTGTGTTGCCTAACCCAAAAGAAGGATGCTGAGGGTACTTTTAGATCAAGTAAGAAGGGAGAATGTTGCTGAAACAAGCTGCTGGATGAGAGAGTTGGGGACAGACAGGATTCTCAACTCATACTATATAAGCTAGCTACCCACTGTGCCTAAATGTGTGCAACCTTCCTTCTGCCATGCATGCTACAAGTCAAGCTTTTGCCAGAAAAGGCCCAAATCCAACACAATTATCTTGTGATAGGAATTTAATGGCAGGGATGCACAAATACTACAATTGTTTGGCCTTGGAATACAGCCCAGGAAATGCTTTCAGGGGCTAACATGTTCTTGGTCTGCACCGAAAGAGAGAGGGGCCTCAATGTCCTGGCTACAGAGGTGATAACCCTGCTCTCCTCAGGCCTGGCGAAGCCATCTGGAGGATTATAGCAAGATCGCAGCACCACAGTTCAAGAAGGACATCGATCAGATGGAAATTCCTCCAGGAGGGCAGGCAGTATGAGGAAGGGCCTCCAATTCATTCCACATGTGGATCTAGTCAAGAGGAAAAAAGGCAGAAGAGTGGTGAGAAATCAGAGTTCAGTTTCTTGTAGTGTGGGCTGCCTTAGATCCCCTCTGGGAGGCTGGACGTCAATGACCACTTTTGTGCCTTAATATCTGTTCTCAAAGAAGGCAAAAACTAGTTTCTGCAGCATGTTCAAGCTAGAAGGGTCCCAGAGGCCACCGAGTTTAACTCTACCATTTGAATTCATGTATTCTCCCCCCATCTATCCCCTTTTATAGAAGAAGACAATGGAGGCTGGGGAGGAGAAGGGACTTGCCCAGGGACACCAATGTGGGGCAGCATGAGATCACTGGCCACCATGGAGGTGGGAAATCCCAACAGGGGAGCTCACCCTAACCTTACTGACTTCACAATTTTGTCTGGTACAATCTGTCCACCGTGGCCTTACTGCCAAGCCTGAGTCCTAGGACTATGAAAAAAAGAAAAGGAAGGGGTGGGGGTTTGGGGGAAGAAAGAAAACACAAAGGCATAATAGAAATGGAAACAGTTGAGAAACCCCAAAGGAGGAGCAAACCTCAACTGTGTTATTTTGAAGGCGACGGCAGCAGCTGCCTCTGTCTGGGGTCGGTACTGGTCTCTGGGCTTCGCCCTTGGCTGGGCAGCCATGCCCTGTGGTCTGGCCCTGCTCCAGCTCATCCTACTCCTCTCACCCCTAGAGCTTGGGAAGCTGGGCCAGGGTTTCCCTCAGCAGCTAACCACAGTTAGGGGGGAGGCCCAGCGAACAGAAGTGGGAATTGGGGAGGGAGATTGAAGAAGCCTGGGACAGAAGAGGCAGTGTGGTCCAGTCAGTGGAAAAATACCAGGCTGAGGGGCAAGAGGCCCGCGTTGGAATCTGGGCTCTGCCAACATATTCCTCTATGTATCCTTGAACCAGTTGCTTCATTTCTTCACTTTTTTGGGCCTTGGGGTTGGATTAGATGATCTCTAAGACCCTTTCTTCTGACATCCTATGATCATGGGGGAAAGGCAGAAATCCAACAGCAGGGTGGTGGTTGGGGGTGGGGAAGAGGATCCATGGGATGCTGGGCAAACCTTGCCTGATCCTACCTCCGTGAAGCTTCTCATGACTACTCCAGTCCATGACCATCTACCCACCTCCCGCATGACAGACACCACAGCCTTCCAGCTTAACACTGTGTATTATGCTATAGTCCTTGCTAATTCTGTCATACGTAGTAATAAGAGTTCACACTTCTACAGCACTTTAAGGTTTGCAGAGAATTTTATCTCATTTGATTATATTTAATTTGATCCTCACCATAACCCTGGGAGGGGAGGTGCTATTACTTCCCCTGTAGACTGGGTATTGAATAAATAAGTACACAATTGATTCATTCTACTGAGGGGTACAGGGAGGCTCAGAGCTATATACATGTTACATACTATTGTGGTGGTGGTTGTTGTTAAGTAAGGCAGGAGTCAAACCTAGGTCTTTCTATTATGCTAGCCCAAGTCTCTCGTCTGCCCAGCTGGGCCACAAACTCCTCCAGAAGGAAGGTAAATGAGTTTCTCCACTACTGGACAGACACACATCTCAAAAGTCCAGGACTTACCTATAGGTAAGGGACCCCAACTCTGACGCCATGCTACATGAAGAGCTCCAGGGATTTGAAGACCAGGCAAGCAAAGCATTGAGTGGAATGGAAAGATCTGCTAGAGAATTTCTCTCGGTAGCAATCTCCCAGGGGCCCCCCAAAGCAGGATTTGATTCCCCAAAGTTCAATCTGCATGCAATGTTTCAGGCACATGGCTTGTGTGTCAAATAAGGACTGTGTGGGTCTGGCTTGGGGATGCAAGACTGCTCTGATTTGGAGGATGTGAGGAATCAGACGATGGCTCTTGGCCCTGCAGGTGCCCAAGGCCTGGCCCGCCTGGCATGGGAGTCACTGCTTCCCAATGGCAGGACAGGGAGCTCCCCTCTGACTCAGCTTGCACACCTCAGGGAGTGTTCCATCCTGCCATTTGTTGACCTTCTTGAGACCCCAGGACCCTGGGCTGCCATCTTAATGCTTGTCCCAATCAATTTTATACTGGACTAGCACTTGGAGGATCTGGGTTCAAAATCCATCTCTGAGGCTTACTGTGAATGGCCTTGGGTAAGTGCCTTCTGCTTTCTGGGCCTCAGTTTCCTTTTCCCCATTTCTTTTCCAGCTCTGAATCTTGTGATCTTGGAAAAAAAAGGCAGGCCCTGAAATGTGTTTGTGGAGGGGGATGAAGAGGGGAGTAGAGCCTTGAGTCATGCTCATGGCCTGCGCAGGTGGTGGAAAGGCTAATTATAGACCACAAAGGGAGGATGCCGCCACTTCCCTCTTCGTTCCTCTCCAGCCACTTGGAGGCCAACCTGGAAACTGGCCTCCTCCCCTCTGCCTTCTAGGAAACCCCAGCCCTACCAAGAGCCCAGCCCCCCCCCTTCCCCTCCTTCTCTGGCTGGGCTTCTTCCCAATGAGTTTTGTCCTGTTTACCATGGCGCTTATTTGCTTTGGGGGATGAGAAGGAGAGGCAGGTGCCCAGGGGATGGGAGGAAGAGGGGGCAGGGCAGATTTTCTAAGGGAGCTCATGGAGAGTTTGAATTTCCATCAGGACCAGAGAGGCAGTTTTTTAAAGAACTAATTTCCTGGGCCTTGTGACCAAGGAGCTCATCACTGGGCCACCAAACTTCTAATGATGGGCCTCTCTACACTTAGCTAGCTAGGCTGGTCCTCAGAGACACAGTCCATCCCATCAACACCTGGCCATTCCAGAGCTTGTGCTCAGCACTGGCACCCACATTCCGTTGCCTACTTACAGCTGCCGGGCCTCTTCATTGCCTGGTGGGTTGCCTGAGATCTCAGTGCTTCCTGATTTATGGCCTCATGAGAATACTGGCACTAATAGGTCACCTTCTTTACTAATGGAGTGAGTCTCTAAACTGATGAGATCATGGATCCACTGAAGATTCCATGCCACCTCATATAGTGCTCTGCTCCCCCCACCAAGGGCAGTTAGAGATTCAAGCAGCAGGCTTGATTACCCTCTGGTAGGTCCGGATATCATGTCTCATGGACCTATATAACCCTCCAGACTTCTAGTACTACCCTGGGTGGGCCTTCCCCCTTTCCCTTCTGTCCCCTCCCCAAGGGCATCTCCCCACACTCACACATCCACAAGAGAAAAGTAGGCAGTAAGAAAGAAGCTTCTTCCACCCTCCCCAGGACCCATAGTACCAGTGATTGGTGAGGTCTGGGTTTGCTCCTCTATACCATGGCTCTGTCCTTGGCTGATCCTCAGCTCTGACTCCCGCTTGGTCCAGATGACTTGATCCCAAAGCATCTATGTTGTTCTCCCACCAACGTTCTCCACCTACCAGCTCATTTTTCCTGCAGTCCCAAGATCCCAGTTTGGGCAAGGAACTCACCGCTCCACCATGTGTCCTTCCTCGGTCATCCCCTGGGTCATATAGCTCCCTCCAAGGCACAGATGGCCAGAGCTCTCTCCAGGGACTATCCCCCCAAGGATGTAGCTGAGGGGTATGAACTCAGTCATCAATGATGTGGTGTCAAAGGCTCTGTGACGTGCCCATGGCAATGCCCTATTAAGGAGACGTGTCAGTCAGCGCCCTCAATGTCTGCACAAAGACCTCATCAGACCTGGGCATGAAGGACCCAGGACACAATGGCTGGCCATCTCCCAGCACATGTCTATTTCATCATACCTTAGGGCTGAGATCTGGATGGAAGTAACTTTCATTACTTGTCCCCACTGTGGCTCATCCCCAGTCTGTCTTTCAGTCTTGTGGTCCACTCTTACTGATGATTTTAGAACAATAGTCCCTATGTAGAAAGGGAGGAAAGGGCTGAAATTTGACCCTCTGGAGTAAAGTCTTCCTGGCTCTACCTCAGGGAAGGGTTGCCTGTTTTCCCTAGATGATTACCTTTTGATCTGGAAAGGCTAACAATCATTTAACTCAACTCTCATTTTCCAGGTGAGGCAGCTTGGCCTCAGAGCAGGGAAGTGACTTTCCCAAGGTCATCTGCCTAGTAAGTGTCAGGGTTAGGATCCGAACACAGATTATCGGTGCCCTTTCCACTCTGGCTCCCATTGCAGCCAATCCCCAGGTTTGGCACTTTGGGAACATTAGCAGCAGTTTCTAACCTGATTCCTACTTTATCATAGTGTTTAGAGCTAGACAGCATATAGTTCAACTCATCCATGTGAGAAGTGAGACCCCCAAATGGCGAACAGATAGCATTTATACAGTCTACAGAGCATTTTACATGTCTCATTTGCTCCTCAAAACAACCCTAGAAGGCAGGTGCTATTATTATCTCCATTTTACAAATGAGGAAACTGAGGCAAACAGAGGTGAAGTGACTTGCCTAGGATCACATGGCTAGTAAGTGTCTGAGGCTGGATTTGAACCCAGGCCTTCATATCAAACCACTATCTACTTCACCACCTTGACCCTGATCACACAGGTAGAAAGCCACAGAGCTTAGATTTGAACTCAGGTCTCCTGCCTCTTGCTGGGCTGCTTATCTTCTCCAGCCCTTCTTGTATCTGAGCAGGGGCCTAACTGTGGGGCTGGCTTCTCAGTCAGGGATGGAACAGAACAAAGTTCACTGGCCCCACTAGGGGATGGAGCCCATACCCTTGACCTCATTAGCAGGCTAGCTGGAGCATCTGAGCTAAGGGCCCAGGAGATACACAGGCTGTATCTGCCAGCAGCTTCACTGAGAAAAAAAACCCCAACCTGGAGGACCCCAATAAACAGGACACCAATGAAGCTTCACAAATCAGCCAAGACTGAAGGTAGAGTCTTGTAGGGGCTTGGGATGATTTGAAGAAAAGGTCAGGAAATAACCAAACAAAATCTAGCCTGGATCAAGGCCAGCTAACCTCAAATGTGCGTGGCCCAGATAGCCAAGGAGCAATGGGCCTGTGGGAAGGAGGAGAGCCCAGAGACACAGAGGGACATGAGTGGGCAGCTAATTAGTGGGGGTGTGGCAGGGGTTTGAAGGAAACCACTTAGGGGCTGGCAACACCAGCCGGAGGAGAGAGGCCCTGTGTGCTGCGAGCCTGCCCTCCCTCCCTGAAGGAAACATGATCAGCTAAGCAGCACCAGGAACAGGGTAGAGAGGGCCAGAGGTCCTGGGTTTGAATCCTGGCTCTGTCACTTCCAAGCTGTGTAACATCTCTGGGCCTTGGAATGCCCTCTCTGCTTACACACGTGGTCTGCATTTCCCTGAGACCTCTGGTCCAGCCGTGTCGACAAAGTCTTGACAACCACTTTCTTGGTGGTGTTTTGTTTAATTGCATGGAGTTCTCTGTGGTTATGCTCTTTTGTTTGGGGATCCTGCTTCATTTGCTTGGACTCTGGCTCTTGTTCCTAGGGCTGAACATTTATAGCTGTTCAAATACAATTTTAGCAGAAAAAAAAACTTAAAAAAAAAACCCAAACTAAGCAAAAAAACAATGAGAGAGGTGGAATGCATGATCTGTCCAGACCCCTTCTAAACCCTGAGTCCTGTGATCTGATAACAGCCAGCTTCACACAGAGCCAACCTTCCGAGCCTCCAGAGGGGTGATACTGATTTGGGCTCGGTTAGGGCAGGACTGGGGGAGTCATCGACAACCTACTGACCACACAGATAGAAAACAGTTTTTGCTGGGCCTGTTTATTTCTTTAGTGGCTTCCGTCCTTTCCTCCCTCCTGGGTCAACCTGCCCAGGCCTGCCATCTGCCTTGGCTCTCATTCCCCTGCTCCAACTTTCTCCTCTCCCCTGAAAGGAAAGTTCCCAGCTCACGTCTTGCCCAGGGCCTCAGTGGCCAGCTCTACCTGGGTTCAGGGCCAGCCAAAAGTTAGGTGTGCTAGTGGCGGGGGGGGGGGGGGGGGGTAGCAAACTCCTGTAAGTAAGTCAGTGCTGGTTTTCCCCTCAAAGATCGCATGCTTATTTACAAGAGGGGTACGGAGCTCACAAAAGGGGACCTGCCTCAGCTGATTGGTTAATCCTGAGCTACAGAGGCACACAAGAGCAGCCACAAGATGGAGGACCCAGGCAGCCATGTCCTGAATGTGTTCTAGAGGCCTGCCAACGAGTAGGGATTTCTGATCCAACCCGGGGCCCAGGGAGCTCCCTCCACTGAGAAGCTGCGAATAGGGAAGGCAGCCTGGCAACTGGATTCAAATCCCAGCCCTGCCATTTATTATCAGTGTGACCTTAGGCAAGTCACTTCTGTTTTATGGGTCCCTTCATCTATAAAATGGAGATAATACCTGTGCTCCCTCCCTGAATTGGTGGTAAGAGGGCCCAAATGAGAACTAGCAGATGAAATGTGAACCCTCTCGAATATTGTACCTAAGGGGGCAAAGTAGTTCAGCAGAAAGATTTGGTGCCAAATGCCTTGGGTTCAAATCCTGCCTTCATCACTTTGTCATTATTTGTGTAACCTTGGACAAGCCCCTTTCCTTTCCTGAGCCTGTTTCCTTCTCTGCAAAGTGAGAGGGCTCTACCAGGTGATTCTTCCAGCTCTAAATCTATGGTCATATATTTCTTCTTCTTCTTCTTCTGCTTCTTCTTCTTCTTCTTCTTCTTCTTCTTCTTCTTCTTCTCCTTCTCCTCCTCCTTCTCCTTCTCCTTCTCCTTCTCCTCCTTCTCCTTCTCCTTCTTCTCCTTCTCCTTCTCCTCCTTCTCCTTCTCCTTCTCCTTCTCCTTCTCCTCCTCCTCCTCCTCCTCCTCCTCCGCCTCCTCCTCCTCCTTCTTCTTCTTCACAATAAGAAGTTTGATATGAAAACATTGGGTCTTAGTCCTTCTCCAGTCCAGAAGCCCTGGGATAACTGAGCCTTTTACCCTGCTAGCCCACCCACCAGCTCTATGTCTATGAATCCTATGAACCCCATTCTGTCTCCCAAAGATCCAGCTCCACATTGGAGACCCTTTGTGGCATTCTTATTTGCAAAGAATGGCATGCTATCTGCTCAGGCTACCATCTGAGACCATCCACCACCCAGGCCCCACAGTCTCCCATAGGTGCAACCCCTCTGGGGTTGCCTCAGATGTTCCCTGATTGATTCAGAATCTGTCAATCAGAGATAATCATCACAGGCTTGGACTCAGAGGGGTGCTTCTCTCTTACTCTTCCACCATCTTCTGGACAGTTCCTCTCCCTACAGTGCCTAGGTAGGAGGCCCTACCAGAGGGGCTCCAACTAGCCAGCCAGCCTAGGGATAAATAGCTTACCTCAGCTTCCCTTTGACCATCCTTTCTATTCTCTCCCATGGGGTGGTAACCTGAAACAGAAAGAAAGCTCATTCAAATCTCTGCTCTGTCCAAAGGCTGATTTCTTTCAGGCTTAGGGGTCCATTTCTCTTTGGGCCCAGGCTCTGGCTTGTCAAATTTCCAGGACCTCAGAAGTCATTTAGATCCACTTCCTAATTTGACAGAGGTGGAAACTGAGGCCCAGAGAAGGGAAGTAACCAGACCAAGGTCACACAGGTAAGAAGTGGCAAAACCTGATGGGATTTGAAATCACCTGGGTCTAAATTCTGGCTCTGCTACTTGCTATCTGTATGACTTTGGTCAAGTCATTAAACTCCTCTGGGGCTTCGTTTCCTCCTCTGTAAAATAAGGAGGTTGAACTAGGCGGCTAAGAATCCTTATGGAAAAAAAAAGAATCCTTATGGCTCTAAAATCTTCCCATCAGAGAAGAAGAATAGGGTTGATCACAAAGAGGCCATTTTGCTGCTCTCCACCTGTGTGCCTCGGATAGAAGGTGGGAGATTAGGAGCTAGCCTTAAGGCAATTGGATGTCATAGTCTCACGATCATAGGGTTAGAGTTGGAAGGAACTTTGGGGATCATTGAATCCAACCCCCTCATTTTACCAGGGAAATGAAGTGACTTGCCTTGGGTCACAGCTAGTGTCTGAAGCAGGATTCGAAACCCAGATCATCCTGACTCCCTGCTGTGAGGTGTCGTCATAGTAGTCAGTGAGGGAGCGCTCTGGAATATCTCAGAACATTCTAGGGGTTGAAATTGCTCTTGGGCTTGCGAGAAGAGTCTCCCTCTACTCTGCCACCATGAGTAGAGGAATAAAGTGACCCTGGGTATGTTTTCTGAGGGTCCCAGTGAGGGAGCATTTGATGGCCAAGAGAGAAGCTGTAGGGGAGCCCCCTATGCAGTCACATGATGGGGAGAGACAGGCTGATTTGAGGTGCCATCCAGCTCTCACACTGTAATTCATTCTGTGCAGGCTGCTTATTGTTTGGATGGCACCCCCCCATTATTTAATAGGTCCCAGTCCCACAAAGGATGCATGCCACTCTCACACAATAGACAGTGTCTGGGCCAAAAAAGGACAAAATCCCACTCTAGGGGAGTTCTGGGCTGTGTCTGCAACCCAGGAGCATGACTAAGGAAGAGAGCTGGGTGGTAGCAATAGCCAAGGCTGCTGGTGGGGGCCCAGCTCTGTATCACTGGGTGTTACCAGCCCCTTGATGTCTGAATGATTCCACATGCTCTATCCTGTTCCAGCCCAGAGATCTCCCAGCTACTAAGGGCCTTCCTGGGGGGCTGGAGCAGGGGGGGGGGGGGAGGGTTTGAGAGAAGAGATGGTTTCAGTCCTTGCCTTGGGATCTCACTCTTTGTATCTTATCTCAGAAACAGGGAAGGCAGCTTGCGTGTTCCTCGTCAGAGTGAGGACCCCAGGCAGGATCCTCATCAGAGTCAGAGCTGTAGCTAGCAGTTTTGGTGGTGAGGGACAAAGCGCAGAAAACAGCCACAGGACAGTGGAGATGAGCAGGAAGGAGAAGACCTTCGGATACAAGGCCTTGTGAAAGGTTAGGGGTGGAGCAGGATGGAAGAAGCAGGGATGCAGAGAACCCGGGGTACACTGGGAAGCTGTTGCCAGTTAGGGAGGTGGCAGGGCAGGGGTGGAAAGGCAAGGCAGGGGCTCAAAGTCCTATGAGCCAAAGAAACGGGGAACCATTGAAAATCTTCAGTCAGGTATGATTAACTGAATACCTACAGAGAACAGGGTCAGATTGAAGACAGAGCCTTGGAGGATCTTTACGTTTGCTTGGCAAGCCAGAAAGTGAACTGATGGGAGACCTTCAAAGGAAACACAAGAAGAAAAGAGTCAGCCTGGCTCAATTTGGTTCATCACTGTCCTGATCAGCTCAGCTCAACTCAGCCTACCACTACCCAGAGTAGCCCAGCCCAAATGAACCCATTAGGGCCCACCCCAGCTCTGCCCCGACCACCACAGCCTAGCTTAGCCCAGTCTAACTCTGTATTCCAAAATGTCAGAACCAAGGTGTCAAACCAAGCAACAAACCCTCAGGAAAGCTGTTCAGAGCCAGCCCCTCATTGGTTCACCCATGTCATGTGATCCCAGGTTCTGTTCTAGAATCTTCGCTGTGGAAAATTCTAGGCGTGCAGTAGCTCACTGCACAGGAATATATGGGTTCCACAGAGTTAGAAAGGCCCCAGGAACCTAGTAAATTAAGGCAGCCAAGGTGGACTTGGCATCAGGAGAGACCTGAGTTCAGCTTCTGGCTGTGGTACTAATCTCTGTCTCAGTTTTCTGCAATTTCAAATGCAGATAATAATAGTACCCACCTCACAAGAACACATGAGATCATGCATGTAAAACATTTTATAACCAGAAAATACTAGATAGATTATAGCTACTATTATTAATATAGCATACCAGTCCTGGGAGAGACCTTAGAATGTAGAACAGAAGATGTCAGGGTTGGAGGGGACCTTAAGCCAGGATTCTTAACCTGGGGTCTGTAAACTTTTTAAATAAAAACATCTTGATAACTGTATCTCAATAAAATTGGTTTTCTTTGTAATCCTATGTACAACCCTTTATCCATTTAAAAACCTGATTCAGAGAAGGGGGCCATAGGCTTCACCAGATTGATTACTCAAAGGGCCCAGGACACCCAAGTTTAAGAATCCCTGCATTAGAGTGTAGAATGTCAGAGCCGAAAGGGATCTTAGAACAGGGGACGTAGAATGCCCAAGATAGACCCCAGAGATTGTAGGATCACACAGTGAAATCCGAAAGGGACCTCAGAAACTATCTAGCTCAACCCTCTCATTTTACAGATGAAGAAACTGAGGCTCAGGGAGGGGAAGAGACTTTCCCACAGTCACTCACGTAGTCAGTGACACTGTCAGGATTCCAGCTGAGGTCCTGTGACTCCAAATTCAGCAAAGTCATCTCATGCAACTTCCTCATTTTACAGAAGAGGAAACTGAGGGCTAGGGAGAAGAAAAGACTTACCCAAGGTCAAACCGAAGTTGGCGACCGATCGGACACTTGCCGACGGCTTGGAATTCCAGTCTCCCAAGGACACCAGTCTGCTTGATGTGGAAGCTTCATCTTCAAGGAACGAAGGAGTCGTTTGGATAGCAACAGAAGCCCCGAGCTTTCTGGGACAGTCTCCTTTGGCTGTTTCTTCCCATTCCTAGAGGAATCCAGGCTAGACAAGTTTAGCTGGCCGCTGGAATCTGCTTTTCTCCCCTCCAGCAGCCTGTGGCTGAGGCCTCCCCCAATAGCCAAATTGCAGGCAAGGGTGTGTCTGAACAGACCTCAGGCAGACTGACTGTGTCTTTTCTTCCCTGTGTCTGGCAGGGGCTCCCAGCTATTTCCAATTGCAAAAGTTGGCCAGGGGGAGAAGGAGGAGAAGGAGGAGGAGCAATGGATGAGAAGAGCTTTTTGGAGCTCAGCTCAGGCAAAACTCAGAAGGCTCCCCAGAGCCTGACCCCAGCAAAAATACCTCTCCCCCCTCTTCCCTCAATCCTCCCTTTGTGGGCCCCCTCCTCCTCCCAATGCAGACACAGGTTAGAGGATTATGGGATATCTGAGCTGGAAGAAACCTAGAAGTTTGTCTAGTCTAACCCCCTGGGTTTAGGGATAAGGAAACTGAGGTACAGAGAAGGAGGCTGTGTTTTGCAGGGGAAGGGAATGATGATTCTGTAGTTGAGGACCCAGTTTCAAACTCTGTCTCTGATGCTTACTACCTGTATGACCTTGGACAAGTCCCTTCCCCTCTGTGGGCCTCAGTTTCCTCCACTGTAAAATGAGGAAGTTGGATTTGATGGTCTCTGAGGGCCCTTCCTGCTCTAGAACTAGGATCTCATGATTAAAGGAAGTGACTTGTCTAAGGTCACACATAAGGTCATAGCTTTACAGCTGGAAGGGACCCTGTGGACCGTCTTGTCTAACCCCCTCATTTTACAGGTGAGGAAACTAGGGTCCAAAGAAGGGAAGAGACTCGTGCAAGGTCACACTGCCAGTAAGTGACAGAGCCAGGATGGGAACCTAGGTCTTCTGACTCCCCGTCCAGTGATCTTTCCACGGTAGCACTCCTCTTCATTCCCAATTGCCACCTCCCCACTTCAGGTCTTTCTGTTCAAGTTGATTTCCATTCATTCAACAACCATTTCTATTTTGGGGGATAAGGCTCTCACAGACCATAGAGTCCAATGGGTACCTCACGGGGATCTCCCCTACAATGCTCTCTTCTAAGTCTCCATCCAGGGCCCACTGCAAGGCCTCAGGTGAGCAATGTGGCCCCTCATTCCATCTCCGGGCAGCTCTCACCGTTATCAACTTTTCTCTTCATGGAGCCAAACTCTGCCTCCGTGACACTCTCATCTCCTGCTCCCAGCCCTGCTGCCCTCCCCCACACTAGTGGGACAAGTCTAATCTCTCTTTTGTATGTGTATTTCCAATACTTTAAGACTGCTGTCATGTCCCCTCCGAGGCTTCTCCAGGCTCCACATGCCCAGTTCCTTTAAGTGATCCTCATCTTATATGGTCTTATGGTCCTTCACCATCTTGGCTGCCCTTCTGTGGACATCCTCCAGCTAACCAATGGCTTCCCTAAAATGTGGTGCCCAAATCTGAACACACTGCTTTAGATGAGGCCTGAGAAAGGTAGACAGGGGTGCTATCTCTCACCTTACTGAATTCTGTACACTATGAATCTCTTAATGGAGCCCAAGATTACATCAGCTTTTTTTTTCACTTGTCACACTTATCACGCTATGAAGTTCTTAGATCCTTTTCAGGAGAACTGCTTTCTGAATCTAGCCACCTTCATGGCAACGTGGGGCTTTTTGAGGCCATTGTTGAAAGGATTTAGCCCTTTACTATGACTTGGTACTCTGAGTGGTCCTTCAGTCGTTGCCCCTGCCCTGTGACAGCTACGGTGGAGAAGGTATTGCATGTATGAAAAGGACATCTTCTAGCTAGTTTTCTCTGGGCTATGGCTCCCCAGGTAGCTCTCCAGATGGGACTCCAGGGAGGGGACGGTCATGGTAAGGTTCTTCTCCATCTCAGTGTCATGGTGATCCTGCCCACATGGCAGTCAGTTGCTGGAGGCTGCAACGAGGCAAACTTGCATGGGGGCCCTGGTCACCTCTACTCCTTCTCTCCTTATTCTTTCTTGACCTTAGGGGAGCAGACATCCCATGGTGGACATGTCCGGGACTCACTACAATTCTGTGAATTCTGAAAGTTCTGAAGGTTCTAGGATGTCTACAGATGCTAGCTGTGGTGCTCCTGGAGAGGCAATGGCTGATTATAGGAGAAGCATTTGGGCTGGCAGAAAGAGGATTGGCTCAGCTCGACTGGGCCCACAGGGGCAGAAATTCTGTCCCACTCCCTGTTCTAAACTCAGCCATTGCTGTTTGTACTGGTTTGTGGACTGGGTTCAGTCCCAGGGAAGCCTGACATCTAATTAGCAGAATTAGACTCATTCACACATTCATTGGCTTGCTAACAAAGCCCCACCCCAGAGTTCCAGGAATGAAGCTAATAATAGTAACAGTTATGGCTCAAAAGTCTAAAGTTTCCCTAAAATGGGGGAGGTAAAAGAGGTACCCAATTCACAATGTAAATCAGGTATGGTATAGGTAGTTTATTCCTATGCAGAAAGAAATGCTAAATACATAGAGAAATACAGAGTGCATTAACAGAATGATTTAAACAAGATTTATTACTCAACGTAAAACTCAAATGGATTTGTAATTTCATCATTTTGGAAGCTGAACAGTGTAGATTGAAATCCATTTACACTTCCCATCCAGCATGACCCTGATGTGTGTCCTTGCCAAAGTTCATCACAGTTACAATCTTCTGGGAGACTAGTAGTTAAATTCTCCTCAGGATATCACTCAGTTTGAAAGGCTGCTAATTAGCCATTTCCTGTTTCACCTTGGATTACCACTGACTAACTCCTGGTAAAAATCTGCCTATAGAACAACCAAGCTAGAGTAATGGGGGACTGGTCAACAAGAGCTCAGTCTTTACGAGCATGGACATCATACTGTGCCTAATTCAATCACACATGTGGACTTTGGAGCATGCATAGGTAGTCTATGATTGTTTCCTGTCCTCTTACTGTGTGGGAAAGAGGAACTGGGAATGGATACAAAAGGCACTAACTGACCAAGCTGGCCTTCTTCTATAAGCCTCTCAGATGGGAGAGAGATCATGGGGGGGGGGTCTATATTCCCTCCTCCCCTACCCAAGCCCACACAAAAATACATGGTACCTCTGTTGCCTCTCTGAGTTTGTTTTTTCTTGGTGTTAGGTGAAGGAGTTTTGGAGATAGCTTGAGCTTTGAAAGGCCAGAAGAGTGAGGCACTAGAAGCTTGGGAATTGGGATCCAAGGTAGAGTTGTGCCTGCAGCCAGGTTGCGTACAGGAGCCAGCCCAGCAGTAGACTGATGCCTACATGCAGTGTTCTGCAGCTAGGAAGGGCAGCAAGAGAGTGACTTGTTCAGAGGCTATGCTGCATTTGGAATTGAATCTATTGGGGTGTGTGCTTCGTAGCAACTGTTCTAAGTTTGAATCCATTCTCCCCAGGGACTGAGGAAGGATGTGTTTCTGGCTCAGAGGAATGTATTTGTAATTGCTGTTCTTGCTATATTTTCCCAGTAGGTATCCCTTTGTAAAAGCTAAAATTGATGTTGACTGGTTAAATTGATAGTGGGGGCACTAATCATATGGGGGTTAGTCAATGATATAAGTGAGAAACTAACTATAGCTAGTGATTGATGGATAGAACATATCAGACTGGGGGCTTGTGCTGAAAGCATTAAAGGACCCTGAGGGGGAGATATAGCTAGCCTGTTTCTGTGGCTTGGCATTCCCCCTTGGCTGGGGCCTCTGTCTTCCTCACCTTCTTCTCTTGGTTTTCCTGGCTTCCTTCCAGACTCAGCTCAAGGTTCATCTTCTGTAGGAGATCTTTCCCATTCCCCCCAGATGCTAGGACCTTCCCCTCTCAGATTACCTCCTATCTACTTTGTATGTATCTTATGCATACATACATATATACATACATGTGTGCATGTATATAGATATGTGTGTGTGTATATATATATATATATATATATATATATATATATATATATATGCATAATCTCCCCTAAAAGGGGCAGCTAGGTGGTGTGGTGGTTAGGGTTCTGGGACAGGAAAACCTAAGTTCAAATATAGCCTTAGAGCCTTACTAGCTGTGTGACCCTGGGCAAGTCACTGAACCCTGTTTGTCTCCATTCTTCATCTGTCAAATGAGCTGGAGAAGGAAATGGCAAACCGCTCCAGTATCTCTTGTCAAGAAAACCCCAAATGGGGTCATGAGGAGTCAGACATGACTGAACAACAACAACAACAACAACAACAACATGTCTCCCCTATAAGAATGTAAGCTCTTTGATGATTGGGACTATTTTTGCCTTCCTTTGTATCCCCAGAACCTAGCACAGTCCCTGCCACATAGTAAGGGCTGCATCAATGTCTGTTGCTTGCCTGCCTGATTGTCCTAGGTCTAGGCTGACTGATCTGATCCACGGAAGGGGGACTCCAGGTAGAGGCAGATGGGGGGAGCCAGAGCCTTCACTTACCCCAGCACTGTCCACCCCCCAAACACTTTGCTCCCTCTCTAGGCTGTGCCTGCCTAGGACACAAACCTGCTTGTTCTGCCTCCTTGAGGGGAGAGTAGGTCGTGGCTCCCTATGGCAGTAGTCTTGTTAGGGGAGCTGCAAACCCACCCTAGACCAAGCAGTACTAAACACAAGGGGCTCCATTCACAGGCAGCCCCAACCAGTGAATCTGTTTGCAAATGGGCCTACTCTGAGGGAGGGTGAGAACAATGGAGTAAAGAACTCACCCTACAGCCTCATCCCCTGTCCCTGGCACCAGCCAAACCAGCAGCCAGAGGCTAATGCACATCTTTATAGGTTAAATGACATTCACTGGTCCCTGTGGATCCCCAAAATACCAGATCAAATGTATTTTCCTTCTGCTCTTGCTTTGTCCTGAGATTTGGACCCTTAATTATCAGATGGCCTGAGTTTGGGCCCTGGCTGCTCCCTCAGCGTGGGGGAGAGGTGGAAGGGGCGGGTAGGGGTCCAGGCTAGGAATCAGGAGATTAGAGTTAATATTTGCTACCTACTACCTGTGTGACCTTGGGCAAATCATTATCCCTCTCTGGGACCCAGTTTTCTCTTCTGTAAAACGGAGACAATCCTTTTTG